CTCTCTCTCTCTCTCCAGCCCAGGCTTGTCTAAAACTTACTATTAGCCCAGGATAGCCTTTCACTCTTCCTGCCTCAGCCTCCAGAGTACCTGAATTACAGGCATGATCTACCCTACCACACCCAGCAATTAATCTCTTCTTAAAAGGACATCAGTCAGGGCCCACACACACACACCTCCTATCTAATTACTTCCTTAAATGTGCTACTTCTGAATACAGTAATGTTCTGTGGAACTTGGAGTTAGGGCTCAAATTATGAATTTGAGGGAACTGTGGCGGGGTGGGGGTGGGGTTGCTTACCGTGTGTCTTAGCAAATCGGCCTCAGGAGGTAGGGCATGAGGCATCAGGCTGTCTGCTCCCCTGGACACAGAATCTGTCGCCACCCTCCCAGAGCGATAGAGTTTCAATTCATATCTAAAGATGCCCACACATTGTGAAACTAACTTTTTTAAAGGTGTTAAAAAAACAGTCTACTCTGGCCCTCATCCCCTTTACCACACAGACTTTCTGTACACTGAGAAACAGTTGAGAAGGGCCTAATGATAACTGAGATGTTTAAAAAAGAGCCAAAAGCAGGCCCCAAAGAAGCCACCACCTCAGTCGCTGTTCCTCACGGGATTGTTCCCTGCTTCAGGCTCTTACCACAAGGCTTTGTTAGCCTGGGTGGGGACACCCTGCAGGGAAGCCACTGCAATTCACACTTTGAGCACTGAACTGGGGGCAGTAGGTGGGTCTAGGGAGATGAGTGTGTAGGTGAAGCCCTTGTCATGAAAGCATGAGGAACTGAGTTTGAAACTCTAGAACCCACATAAAAAGCCAGACACATGCTCATGTATGTAATCTCAGAGCTCCTACTCGAAAAGAGAGGTGGGGACAGGTGGAGGATCCCCCAAGGTCATCCTCTGACCTTCACGTGAGTGCCATTGCCCATACTCACACAGAAACAGAAACACCGCAATCACACACACACACACACAATATTAAATACATAAAAAAGGATGTGTGGCAGGAGCATCTTCAGAAACATTGGCCAGCTCAGGATTTAAATAGCAAGAAGTCTTTCAGAGCAGCTAGAAACAAGGTTCCTCTGTGCTCTGGAAACAGACCTGAAAGATGGGCTCAGGAACAATGCGGCCCTTTGCTGAGACAGGAAGGCTGGCCTGGTGCAGGGATGGAGCAGGAATCACCGCTGCTGTGCACAACACA